AGCTAAATCCCCAGCCCGCCCAACCCCCTTTTTTGACATGGTGTCTTGCTGTTTCCCAGGCCGGCCTCTAGAACTTGGAATCTTCCTGTCTCAGCCTCCACGTAGCTGGGATTACAAGCATGTATCTGTTGATTAACCCCCAAAAAGTATTTAAAAATGTATTCAAATTCTCTTAGGTCTCAATAATACTTTAAAGATTTTTGGGGCTAAGTGTGGTGGTTTATGCTTGCAATCCTTGGTAATTGGGAAGCTGAAGCAGGAGGATCAAAAGTTTGAGGTCAGCGCCTGTCTCACAGGTGTAAGGTCCTGAGTTTGATCCCCGTAACCAAAAAAAAAAAAAGTTTGAGGCTAGCCTAAGCAACTTAGCAAGACCTCACCTCATTTTAAAAAGGGCTAGAGGAGGCTGGAGATTTTGCTCAGTGGTTCTGGCACCTGCCTCACAAGCACAAGGTACCAAGTTTAATCCCCAGTACCAAAAAAAAAAAAAACAAAGACAAAACAACAGAAAAAGGGCTGGAGATACAGCTCAGGGCTAGAGCACTTGCCTAGCATATGTGAGGCCCTGGGTTCAACTCCAATATGGGAGTATCCCCCCCCCCCACACACACACAGTATAACACATCAGATAGAGTTCACATCTTGTTTTCGGGTTTTGTTAACACTCTGAGCAACTTTCTTCCACTTTATTTCTGAGCTGGCTGTGGTTTATAACATTATTGATTTCTGTATGTTAACTTTGTATATAGTACATACATAGTTGACTTGCTGCAAATACACACACTGCATTCTCCTGTTATCTAATTTTGCATGCATCTTCCTTTTTTTAGGCACTGGGGATTGAATTTGGGGTCTTTACACTAAGCTACATCTCCAGCTATTTTTATTTTGAGACATAGTCTCACTAAGTTGCCCAGCCTGGGCTTAAACTTGCAACCTCTTCCCTTAGCCTTCCAGAGTGCTAGAAATACAGGGATGAGCCACCATGCGCAGCTTACCTGCCCAATTTTTACTTATTTAAATCCCTAGGCATCCTCTGGTGTGAGAAACTGAAAGTGGAAATAAGGACTGAGATGTATAATGGATGTTGGGAAATGCAAAGAAAGTGTTCAAACGGGAAGGGGAACAAGGGAGGAGGGAGAGAGAAAGGAAGGAAGGCACAAGAAAAAAGTGAGAATAGAAGGAAAAAATGGAAACAAAGCTTTTTTGTACATAGGGAGGGGAAGGGGCTTGAGGGGCAGAATGGGATAAAATAAAATAAAATAAAATTTATTAACAACAAAAAAAATCCTAGGCATATAAAATTATAGTAAATAAATATGGTAGTATGGGTAATCTGCTCATATTTCTTGACTTTAGTAGGAAGAGATCTAATTTCTACAAGTAAACATGGTGCTAGGTTTTGTTACTGTATATATATATATATACATATATGAGTTATGGGGCTGCGGATTTAGCTCAGTGGTGCCGCCACCTGCTTTGCAAGTGCAAGGTCCCAAGTTCAATTCTTGGTACCAAAAAACCCCCCCCAAAAAAAATATACACACACACACACACACACACACGAGTTATGTATGTGTGTGTTAACACACCATTTTTTCTTTTTATTTTATAAAAAATTAACATTTTCATAACCAAATAATAAGAGAATAACAAAAGGTATTACCCCGTGTATCATTATCTTTGAAGTAGCTAGTACAAGACATAAGCCAAAAAGATTCTTACAAAAAAGAAACAGATATGTGCTGTGCAAGTGCAAGGACCTGAGTTTGATCCTTGGTACCAAAAAAAACCAAAACAGATAATAACACAAACTTTCTCTTCAACAAAGATAAACTTTTAGTATAAATGAAACAAATTAGCATATATATTGAAATATTTTTAAAACAATAGGGGAAGTATTTGAACTTCTCTTTATTTCCTATTTATTGCTCTTCTATTTTGCTCTGTGTGTGTGCACATTCACACACGTGTGTATGTGTGTGGTTTAACATATGGCATTAAATGTTCTTTTACTATTTTATAAATAATCTCAGATTTAAAACCTCTGATTCTAGTGATCGCTTCGACAGCACATATACTAAAACCTCCAATTCTGACACTAAGAAATTTTCACCTCTCTAGAGGTTACTTTTCTCTTAAAATAAATTATATAATAGATTCCCTTAAAACATCTTTTAAGTATGATAGAAAAGCCTTTTCACTTAATTCCTTCTCCAATTAATCTATAAATTCATTGCAATTCCACTTAAAATCTCCAAAATTATTCTTCCCAAAACTAGATAAACTGACTCTAAAATTCAAACGGAAGCAAAGAGATCCCCATGCAGCTCAGAAATTTCTGAAAAACCAAGAACATCTGTGTGGAGGGAAGTAAGAATACCCTTACCCCAGAATAAGGTTCCAATAAAGTTATAATTACTTTCACAATGTAAAACACAAGATACAAATTACAATACAGTGTAAATTGTAGACAAAATAAAAAGACTAAACCTAGAAACTATTAAGCACATATCTGATAAAGGTAGTATCACAAAAAAAAGAACTATTTGATAGAGTATTGGAACAACTGGTTTTCTACTTGCAAAAATAATTCTACTGATAGAATTATCAGTAAATTCCTACCTCAAACCAATTTCAAATTATATTCTAGTTAAAGACTATATATTAAAAGGAGCGCTTTGAAAAAAAATCTATGTAACAGAATAAAAGAAGAGTTATCTTTAAAAGAATAGTGGGAACTCATGAAAGAAGACTATGAAACATTGTTCTCTATTATGACTGAATTATCTTATTAAATGTACTTATTTATCATATGTTAAATGTAACTACCTTAATTCAAGTGTCAATGCAACCAAACATGAGTAACATAAGTGACAGATTGGGAAAAGAAATCTACATAAATCCTAACAATGAAGTAGGCATTCTTGCAGTTCCCTAATTTTGAGTAGAAAAAGGAATAAGAAAATAGACAATAGCAATAGGCAACTGGCAAAATTTGCAGTTCTTTTCCCTTGAGTACAATATCACAGAGCACAGACCCTACAGTCAGACTGTATGGGTTTGAATTCTGTGTTTATTGCATACTGGTATACAATTATATAAGCTTCCTACCCTTTGTGTTTCACTTCCCACACCCATAAAAATTAAAATAATAGTATCTATTTCAGACTTCTAAAAGTACACATAAAGTAAGTACACATAAAGCTATTATACTTGTACAGGATTTTTCTAACTGATGCATAGTCTACTCGTACAAATAGGAGCAGTCATGGAATAAATTTACATCCACATTCTAGAATGTATTTGAGACTGCAAGGCATCAAATACAGGCAGTCCATTTCTTTCTTTTTTTTTTTTTTGGTACTGGAGATCAAACTCAGGTCCTTGCACTTGTGCAGCAGGCAGCGAAACCACTGAGCTAAATCCCCGGCCCAGGCAGTCCATTTCTAATTGATAGTCCAAACCAAAATATTTGGCTCTGGTGTATGAATGAAAATACATAAATTTTATGATGGCTAAGAATATCTAAGCTGTAGATAAGAATTCCTTTAACACAATTTATAGCTTTTTTACTCTGCAAATGAAATATATATGTGAACTACTAATTCAAAATTTGTTCATAAATGAGTCATTACTCATCAATTCAAAATATGTTTTAAAGATGCATCTGCTAATCTGAATTGTTTACTTTTTTGTGACATTAAAATTTTAAAATATGTGTTGGCCACCTGCATTTCCTCCAATTGCTTCTTCATGTTCTTCATCCTATTTTCTATCTTCTTAATCACTGATTTTTAAGAATTGTTAATGTGTTTCTGCTATATATATTACAAAAACTGTTCCTAGCTTTGCCTTTTTCCAGTGTTAATGGTGGTTTTATTGAAGAAAAGGGATAATTTTTTTTGTTTTTTGTTTGTTTTTTGTACCGGGAATCAAACTTGGGACTTTGCACTTGTGAGGCACGCTGCAGAACCACTGAGCTAAATCCCCAACTGAAAAGGGATAATTTTATTAATCCAAATTGGGTAATCATTTCTTTTGTGTTATATGTTAAACTAAAAAGATCAATGAAAACAGTCAACTCATCTAAAGCCCATCTCAGGTAGGAAAGACTACATAGCTAATAATACCTATAAATTATAGAACCCTACTATATGCATTTAACCATCCCAATCCTCTTATAGGGCAAGTTCTATTACATGTAGAGATGATGCCAACTGAGACACAAAGACATTAAGAATCTTGCCCATGATCATAAACTCTGCAAGTCACTAAAGCAAGATTTGAACCCTTACAAAAATATGTGAAAAGTTATGAATATCAGTACTATAGGCTGCCACAGAATATTAGTATAATTTAGTTTAACTTGTATTAAAATCCCAATATACTTGTATTGAAGAATATGCATTAAGTATGATCATTTCAAAGATACATGTTACATTTACTCTTTTACATAATTTTAACTTTTGACCTTTGGGCAACATCAACTTTTAAAAACTGAACTTAAATTATGAAAATTATGGAATTACTTTAGAAATGCGTTTTTGGCCCAAGTGCCAATGAAAAGCTTTTTCTTTCCTTAAGTAATACCAAGTTTTTTCCTCATAAACAATACAAATCACGGAGTGCACTTTGTGTCTCAGTTTGCTTTGACTCTCCAGATCATATTCAAATTTGAGTCTAACTTGAATAATTCTGTATGTACTTATTTTATCATAGCCATACACCATTATTCCCTTGGTTCTGATTTTCTATTTTTTTTTTTTACTTATTCCTCACTGACTTTTTCTTTTTTTGAGAGAGAGGTTCTCGCTATGTAGTTCAAGCTGGCCTTTAACTTCTAGCAATCCTCCTGCCTCAGCTTCCCAACTGTTGGGACCACAGGTGTGCACCATCACGCCTGGCTGAGTTTTTTCAACTTATTGGTAGGTTACAGCAACCTACTACACTTGAACTGCAAAGTAATGCAGGACACAGGTAAATGTTTAAAATGTACATACAAGAAATCTGGCTGTATCCTCTTCTTCCTGAGTAAGAGCAGAGTCCCAAAAACACGAAGCTAAAAGAACAGAAACAAAACAGATTTGCTTCAGAGTTCTGAACAAAGAAATACGGCAATTTTAAAATCCTCTATTGAGCAATTTTCCTCCAGACTACAGAGAAATGTTGAACACTGTCAACCTGCAGAGAAACTGAAATGTATATGGATGACATCTTCGATTGTATGGGGTTCTGATGATTTCGGGAGTGTCTCCAATGAATCTACTGGCAATACTGTATTTCTCTTCAATCTTGCTATCTATCCCCAATAAGAAATTAATCTTAAATGTGTAATAAATCCCACATAGATTTAATTATTAAGATGGCCTTTAAATTGCTATTTTTATCATAAAGAATTTGGGGGGAGTACTTTAATCAGAAAGTGGCTATAGGCAATTGTGGAACATTCATATGACAGGCTGTAATGCAATTATGATTCTAATGTCATTTTACAGTAACTTAATTTTTTTTTTCAGTACCAGGGATTGAACTCGGGTCTTTGTGCTTGCGCAGCAGGCAGTGAAACCACTGAGCTAAATCCCTGGCCCAGTAACTTAATTTTTTTTAACCCTACATGCCCTCCTAGTTACCAATGGAAGACTGAACATTCACATTCCTTTATTTCTCTTCCAAACCAAAATAAACATTAATAAAGGAAGATAAACTCACAAAGACAAAGAAAATAGAACAGTTCAGCAGTTAAGAGACAGCAATAAAATTTTGGAAGCTAGAGAGCAGAGATGAGTGGTATCTGACTTAAAGAAACCTCAAGTGTAAAAAAGGGTTGGAGGGAGGGTGGGAAAGCCAAGCATTGCTCACTTTGGCAGCACATATACTAAATATTGGAAAGCCACAGCAGTACCCTAGAGGGGAATGGAGGTTTCTGCAAATAGAAGTTTGTGAATAGGGCAGAAAAAGAGGGAACTAAATGTAGGCTGTTATAAAAAGACATTAAGGGCTGGGGATATAGCTAAGTGGTAAAGTGTTTGCCTAGCATGTATGAGGCCTTAGTTCAAGCCCTAATACCACCAAATAAAGTAAAATAAAATGGCATTGAAACCAACTGATGTCTTCTTTTGTCTCACATAATATGGTGACATTTACCTCACACTAGAAAAATGTGTGGGGTTTTTTTTTTTGGTGACGGGGGCTTTTTTTAATGAGGTTCTGGATTTCAGGTATACCAGGTCCAGATAAAGGTAGCTGAAGCAATGTAGGAAAAAAAAGAAGTGAAATGTTGAAAGATGATAATATACTCAAAAAAGTATCTGTGTGTGTGTGTGTGTGTGTGTGTGTGTGTGTTTCATGATGGATTATATATAAGATGAGGAAAAAGAGGCAGTGAAGTGGAAAATGTTCAAAATACAAGACTGTGAGTAACTTCAGAGGTACAGACCTTTTCTGCCCTATTCATCAAGAGCAGAGAAGCAGTAACACTGTGAGATGATAAAGAACTCATTTTCTAAAACCATCAGAAAATATGTAAAGCTATAAATATAAGAACAACATTTCCTTCTTTTGTTTGCCTCACAAAAAGCCAGCAGTTCCTGCTTACATTCCTCCAGCAAATCTAGGACTTATTCCTGAGAAAACTGAGTAGTCCAAAGGAAATATCTATAGATCCTGAAATTTGATTAGAAAGGACAAGGAGAAGAATATACCCAGATAAGGGTGACATGTGAAAGACAGCTAAATCTTTATGTACACTGCCAAAATTAATAGGAACTTTAAGTGAGAAATCAAGTAATAGTTGCATGTGGATGATATTCAGAAAAATGGAGATGAATATCCAAATAAAAATGTTCAAAGTGCTTGTCTCAGGGCAGTGGGAAGGAGGATCAGGATGGACAGAATAGCAACCTTCTGTTTATACTTGTATAACAGCATTTAAGAAAATACATTTCAATATATCCTCAAAGAAAAATAGATATTACTTTAAAATATTTATTATAAGCCAGGCATGGTGGCATCCACCTACAACCCCAACGTCTGGAACTTCAACACTTGCCTGGGCTACACAGTGAGTTAGAAGTCAGCGTGGTAAATAGCAAGACCCTGTTCTCAAACTGCCACTGCCCTAAATATTTTTTGTTTAAAAAAAGTCAAATAGTCAAATAAATAAAAAACAAATGCCACCAAGGCTTGGTGGTATATGCCTATAATCTCAGCACTTTGGCATGAGGCACAATGATCCCTTTTAACTCTTGCCTTGGAAACAGTAAATTAGCAAGACCTCATCTCAAAAACACCAAAAAAAAAAAAATTTTTTTTAAAGGGATAGCGATGTAGCTCAGTGCAAAGGTTCAATCCCAGTACCACAAAGTAAAAACAATAAACAACAACAACAAAAAATATGTGTCCTGCATAGTTAGTGACACTCATGTAAACTACTGTTGGTAGCAGTATTGAATTTCCTCTTTTGTACTGCCCCTGAGTATACAGCTCCCTTCTCCTAAACTGCCCATCTCTGAGCCACCTCACCTTTCCTTTCCATTGTCTGGATTGAATGGTCCATTGTTAGACAGCTATTGCTGACATCGAAGGTTGAGATGACATTCACACCTTGCTAGCTCTGAGCACAATGGTCAAGACAGTCTGTGGGTCCAGCAACTCCAGTGTCCAATCTTTTCCAGGATTCCAGCTTCTCAGGTAAGTCTCAGGTTAAGAAGTCTCCTTCCATGATATCTGTTCCTCAGGCTTCTTTGTAATCACATCACAGATCTGTCTTACTCTTGTGGAGCCAGGACCTGAGGGGGTTAGGACATAAATCCAATTTCCCTGATGTATTCTCACTGAACCCCCATGGTAACCAGCCTTCAAGATGCCCTTCAATGATCAATGTTTTCTGGGGATCATACCTTTTATAGACCCCGCTACACTAAACAGGTTTGATCTGTATAATCAATAGGCCACTACAGAAATGATGGTGTCTGACTTTCAAGGTTAGGCCATTAAAGACATTGGGGTTTCCATCTTGTATATTTTTTGGATCATGAATTTTGAATGAAGCTAGCCACCATTCCAGGAAGACACTCAGTCAGTCTAGTTGTCAACAGGTAACATTAACTTGCCAGTCATCTTGGAAGCAAATCCTCCAGGCTGAGCCCAGCCTTCAGAATACCGTAGTCCTGTCAACATTTTGACTACAACTTCAAGAATTACATGAGCCAGAATAATCAGCAGAGTCAAGCCCCAAAGAAACTGTCTGCTAACAAATATGTACTGATGTTTAAGCAACTCAATTTTGAGAGAATTTGGTATTAGATAACCAATACACTTATCTTTCTTATTTGTAATTCAAATTTCCTGGAGTCATTGACCAGAGATGTTGGATGCAGAGACCAGCAGGAGTTAGGAGAAAACTCAAAGTACTAAACAGAGACACCAAAAGTCTAGAAACAAAGCAATGTTCACATATCTGCTCCTCAAATATCATCTATGAACATACAGGTATAGATTCAATGTAGTGATAAAGAGGTGAGTACAAAAAGATTTACAGCCATCTCATATATGGAATAAAAGAGAGTTGCATTAAAAGTCCAGGTACTTCAATACCTTGGCAATTGAAGCTGAAATTTAGAATCCCAAGACTTTTCATTTTAAGTGAGAATTTTATTCATGCCATTCATGATGATACTGGATGAATAAATGAAATGGCTATTACTATATATTCATTTATTATCTACAAGAAAGTAGATTAATCTTTGTATTATATGACAGTTAGAAATAATAAAAGTATTTAATTATAATAAATTTTGAAAAGTGTTATGGTTGAGATATACTCCTAATAGTAGTCACTTTTCTTCCATGGCCATTAACTCCTTATAAAAAACTATATAATTTATTTATATAACATATATACTATCCAACTACCCCCCTCAATATAACTCCATGGAAACAGGAACTTTTGTCTGGTTTTCACAGTGATAGCTGGGGCTCAAAAAGTATGCTGATAAAATGTCAACCAGTGGAAAACACTGCAGAAATGAAAAAATTTAAAACATAATTACAATATGTCAAGCAACTCTTCTGAGTATATATCCAAAATAACTGAAGCAAGGACTCGGTTATTTATACACACTCCCGTGTTTATATCAATAATTTTTTTTTTTTTTGGTACCAGGGATCGAACTCGGGTCCTTCCTCTTCTAGGGCAGGCAGGAGAACCACTGAGCTAAATCTCCAGCCTATATCAGTGTTACTTGAAACAGCCAAATGGTGGAAGCAGTCCAAGTGTCTGACAGATGAATGCATAACCAAAATGCTTATTCATACACAACAAATATAGTATTATTCAGCCTTTAAACTAAGGAAATTCTCACACAAACAGTACAGATGAACGTTGACAACATTATGCTAAGTTAAACCAATCACAAAAGGACAAATTTCGTGTGATTCTGCTTATATGAGGTATCTAGAGTTGTCAAATTCATAGAGACAGAAAGTAGAATGGCAGGTGATGAGGCTGGGGGAAAAGTGGAACAGGGAGTTATTTTTAGAAGTTTCTGTTTTGCAAGACGAAAAGAGTTTCAATGATGATAGAATAACAATTTGAATGCACTCAATGCCACTGAACTACATAATTAAATATAACTAAGATGACAGATTTTGTTATATATTTCACCATTATACACACACACACACACACACACACACACACACACACACACACACATAGAACATGGGGGGCCAGGGACTTAGCTCAGTGGCACTGCACCTGCCTTGCAAGCACGAGGTCCTGAGTTTGATCTCCGAGTACCAAACAAAGCAAAAAAACAAAAAAATATAGAACATAATGGAATACTACTACTAATTTAGGGTGTGTGTGGATGTGTGTGTGAGCACGCATTCATACCCAGTATAAGGGAAGAAATCCAAGCTATTCTACCACTGAGCTACATTCCCAGCCTTTTTCTTTTTTGGTACCGGGGATTGAACTTGGGTCCTTGCGCTTGCGCAGCAGGCAGCAAAACCACTGAGCTAAACCCCTGGCCCCCTAGCCTTTCTTTTTCCTCCCAGACAAGGTATTCTTAAGTTGCTCAGGCTGGCTCAAACTTGAATCCTCCTGCCTCAGTTTCTTGAGTAGCTGAGTTTAAAAGTGTGTGCTACCATGCTCAGCTTACTAAATTGGGGATTTGGAACTAGAAGACAATGGTATCTCAGATATGAATAAAACAGAAAAGGATGGGTAATTCAGAGTTCAAGTGTTTAACAGTCTTATTTGAGTTTTGTTAGTATGCACATTAAAAATTCAAGGATAAGACCAGAAACCTAACCAGTGGAGAGAGAAGGGATAAGGTGATAACTACACATTACTGTGATAAATATATCTGAATTAAACTCACCTATATATCAAGCAAGCTAAAAGGGTAAAAAGTTCAGGCATATGCTCCTCACATGAAACCTAAAAAATACAGGAAAGGATTAGGAAAATGAAATTTCTGAAAGTACAGTAATTAAACCTAAAAAGTAATACTATCAGACAAAAGAAGCTAAACATGCTTTTTAGTATAGTAGATTGGAATCTTGGTCCTCCTCTAATAGGCCAGTCTCGTTATTTTCCAGGTAACTTTCTTTGCTTTCCAACTGTGGGTGTAATTAATGTTAAGTTTAGCACGACTTTCATTAGCGAATGTAATATTAACAGGTAGAAGCAGAGGTTTTAAGGGCGTGTGCATGATCTCTTATGTGCTTTGATGATCCACCATAAAAAGAAATGCCCTGGTAACCACTGCCTTTTGGCCAGAGCCCAGAAAGAAGAAATGCAGGGCAGATCTGAACTCATCCTACAACTTAACCAAATGTAGCATGAACACAATGAACCTGCAAAAAAATGTCAGTGTAAGAATAAATGCCAGGTGTTCCCTGATATTGAGTTTAGGGATTGTCTGTTAGGCACTGTTAAATTAATATAGTACTGGGGGATATAGCTTAGTGAGTACTTGCCATATGAAAGGCCCTTAGGGCTGGGGATTTAGCTCAGTGGCACCGCCCTTGCCTGAAAGTACAAGGTCCTGAGTTTGATCCCCGGTACCAAAAAAAAAAAAAAAAAAGAAAGGCCCTGGCCTAAATCCACAACATTACAAAAAATTAAAAATAAATTAACAAATACACATAATTAAAGAAGCAAAGCATACTATGATAATAATGAACCTGGAAAATATCATCAAGAAAAACTGGGGGATCATGGGGGAGAGAAAGAGCAGCAGCAAAGAAGACAGAGGAGGAGGAGTCATGGAAAGGGAGGATCAATAGAAAACAAATACAGAGTTTTGTTGTTGTGGTGGTGATACTGGGGATTGAAACCAGAACCTTTTGCAACATGCCTATCCTTTTTTTTTTTTTTTTTTTGGTACTGGAGATCGAACTCTGGTCCTTGTGCTTGCTAGGCAGGCAGCGAAACCACTGTACTAAATCCCCCCCACCCCCACCCCGCATCCCCTTTTTTAAATTTTAATTTTTATTTCAATGTAACACAAGAAGATGGTAATAAAGAAATTTTTTTAAAGTCTTTACTTCTATGAAAAAATAAAGCAAAATTTCATAACAAATGAATCAAAGAATAACAGTTAATACACTATGTACCATAATCTTAAAAGAATTGCCAAAATGTTAGAGTACAAGTCATAGACAAAAGACTCTTACAAAAAAGAAACAAATAGCACAAAACTCTCTTTTCAATGAACTAAGAGGACCTAGTGGTATAAATGAAACAGATTAGCATATATATTGAAATATCTTTGAAATCACAGAATATATAATTTGGGGAATTATTAGAACTTGTCCCTACTTCCCATTTCTCTATCTTGTTTTTAAATGTTTTCTTTAACATTTAATAGATACTATGTACAATAAAATTTTACTGTATTTTACATAAGATAGCCACTGCAGGAATTTGCATAGATTAGAAGGAAGATAGATGGTTAAAGATGGCCCAGTCCTTTGAGATATTTTCTCAAAGCATGAAAGTCAGAGTTAGTTGGGGAAAAGGGTTCAGGCTGCCAGATTAAGTGGATGTTAAAAAAGCTAAAATGCAGGCCTTTGGGTAGATAACCAGACTCTGGTATCACCAATATTTCAAAGGTGCCATTCTAAAACACAGCCCCCAGCTAGTCATCTATGTGGATTCTTGCCAGTGACTTAGGAAATACCATTCCAAAGATGTTTTTCTCATTAGGCAGACACAAACATGCATTCAATCCCAAACATAGGGATGACCTCTCTCTCCTCCTTGCCCAAATAGGACGAAACCCATAACTTTTGGACACTACTGACCTAGTCTTCTCAATTTTAGTCCTTATTTCTACTTTTGGTTTCTCACACTACAGAAACAACACAGCACTCAAACATGTGTGTCCAATTTATTTCACTTAAGAGTATGGTCTCAAGGTCCATCCATTTAGCTATAAGCTCATTCTTCTTTTACTTTATTTTATTTTATTTTTTGGTTCCGGGGATCGAACTCGAGTCCTTGAGCTTGCGCAGCAGGCGGCGAAACCACTGAGCTAAATCCCCGGACCAAGCTCATTCTTCTTTATGGCAGGGTAGGCCTATCCTTTACTGAGCTACATCCCCATCCCCTTTTTATCTTTTTTTTTTTTTTTTTTTTTTTGGTACTGGGGATCGAACTCAGGACCTTGCGCTTTCGAGGCAGGCGGTGTGCCATTGAGCTAACTGCCCAGCCTTCTTACAGTTTTGGGGGTTTTTTTTGGAACCGGGGATCGAACTCAGGACCTTGCGCTTTCGAGGCAGGCGGTGGGACCAATGAGCTAAATCCCTGGCCTCCTTTTTTATCTTTTGAGAGAGGGTCTCCTTAATAATGACCACCTTAGGGCCGGGGATTTAGCTCAGTGGTTTCGCCGCCTGCTGCGCAAGCGCAAGGACCCGAGTTCAATCCCCGGTACCAAAATAAATAAATAAATAAATAAAAATAATGACCACTTTGGAGTTCAACTTGCAATCTTGTATCACCTTCCCAGAACGTTGGGATTATAGGCATGTGGCACCATGTCAAGTCCAAAAAATGTAAAGTGGTTACCAACTGTGTCAAAAGCTGGAGAAACTAACCCAAATAAGGCGAGAACCATTAAACATTACCATCATACAATTAGCCACGCTCACACTCACTACACCCTTAATCACAAATGCATAACCACAAACATCAAACATCAAATGTAGCCACCCCACTGACACAACCACACATCTTCATCACACCCCTCAAATTATAAACACACACGACAGACATCCACCAGTTTGTTGTCCCAACCCGTAACTCACCAGTAACTTACTCATACGACCGGCGCTCCCCACTACCCCTACTCCGGACCCCAAGGACCACCTGACAGCCTCCGCCGTCAGCCACCCGCGGACGGTACAATCCCGACCCCTCCAGCCCTTACCTCCGGACCCTTGCTTCCTGCTGCGGGGACTTGTCAGCTTCGCCTACTGGAAACGCTCAAATGTGCATCCAGCAAGCAGTTTGTGAAAGCCTGGGTGAAATTCACCTGCAAAGAGGTTCTGGACAGACTCCAGGGTCACAAGCCAGGTAAAGTATCTTCGACCGCTACATCCCAGGGCGTGACTCCGCCCAGAATGCACTGCGGCCTAATTCAACTTCCGGTCAGAGAGCTCCTGAGGTATGGTGTAAGGGAGCCGGGGAACCAGGATTGCAGGAGAGGCCTAACTACCGCGCTGCGCTCTGTTTTGACTCACAGTCATGAAACTGCATTTGGACGTGAGAGTTATTGGAGCAGTCGTTGCGGGTGGGCTCAGACAAGTTGCTGAGAGGAATAGGCGTGGACCCTATTCTAGACTACATTTCCCAGAGGGCACAGTAGCCTGTCGCTCTTCTTTGGGGAATTTGGACGTTTCGTCACTCTTGGCGGTACCCGTTAGATCGTTGAGGTGAGAGATCGGGGTCGTCCGTGTAGCCGGTTCAGGTTTGCAGGTTTAGATGCGAGAAGACTGGAAAGGCCTTAGGCGAGAATCATGGAGGCCCGTGGGGAGCTGTTGCTGGCAGAGCTCACCGAAGAAGGGAATTTGTGGGAGTGTGTCGGCCTATAGAATGTCTGGTCATTGTAAGCATTTGGCTGAAGTATGATTATCTAAATATACGTGGCACTATGTGTATTAGTATGGGGCACCCGTGCGATTGTGATTAAAAACTGTGTCTCCGGGATACTTCTGAGGTTTGGTCATATTCTAACCCTGGACAGCAGTGAACACAGCCTTTTCCCTTGAAGTGTTGAAATTGATCTCCATCCCCTCTGTGGGATAGGTAATGGGATGGGACTAGTAATGATTTCTGACCTCACTTTGAGTACCAAGAAAAACCTAGTGGCTATTTTTTTTTCCTCCTAGTTCTTCCTTTTCCATGTGAGTCACCCACAAGAGAAAGAAACAATGCATGATGGATTAATACAAGTAATATACAAGATGTGGTGTGATTTCTTTTTTGATTTTCCTCTGAAATTTTTGGTTTATAAAGATATTTTATTTGAATATAGGTGTCTATAAATTCTCCATTGAAGTAAAGGTTGTGCCTGGTATTAAAGCCTTATATTCTCTATATACCTAGTGCTCATACTAATACCGTTATTTATACTAAATAAGTTTTGCTTTTCCATTTAAATAGTACTCTGGGAGGCTGAGGCAGGAGAATCATAAGTCCTAACCCAGTCTGGGCAACTTGGCAACTTAGCAAGACTCTGGGTTTTTTTGTTGTTTTTTTTTTTTTGTATTAAATTATTTTATTGGTACATTGTAGGTATACAACACAATTACATTTCTCATTAGGAATTGTACCTTTACATAATG